GGCCTGATTACACTTAAATACTATGTCAGTTGTCAGCGTAAGAACTTACGTATGGGTACAGGTCCCCTTTACCCACAGTGGATTCATGACAATTTCCACCTCGTGTCATTTCTATGAAACTTTCTTCCTAACACAAGAGCACCTTGTTTCTTTTCAATTCCAGCCCACAACCTAGTAGCTTCTTGGTCCATTCTCCTCAAGGTGGATAGATTCCCTCAAGTAAATAACCCCTTCCTCTCATGACTCAGTGGAAAGACACAAGAACATGTGCCAATGAGTAAGCCAAGCCACATGACCACGCCTCCAAGAAACCCACCCCTATCCGGCTTTATCTAGAGAGCAGTGAGAATATACTGAGTTTTGCTTCCTGTCCTTTCTCTCAGGCTTTGTTTTGTTTTGTTGTCTCTTTTCTTTTGCAACTTATTACTCTATGAATTCTGCCTCCTTTTTAAATTTTTTTAACTTTAGATGTTGATGGACCTTTATTTTTATTCATTTATTTATATGTGGTGCTGAGTATGGAACCCAGGGCCTCACACATGCTAGGCAAGCGCCCTGCCACTGAGCCCCAGCCCCAGCCCCTCTGTCTACTTTTTATATATTTAATGTAGCATGTATTAGAAGAACATTTCCCCATAGACACTTCTTTGGGGTCAAAAAGGACTTTGCTGCAATCTAACTCTAGAATAGCCCAGAGGTCTTCTCAAGTAACCTAGTAACTTTCTGAGCAGGTTTTTTGTTTTGTTTTGTTGTGTTGTGTTGTGGTGCTGGGGATTGAACCCTGGGCCTTGTACATGGGAGGTAAGCACTCTACCAACTGTGCTATATCCCCAGCCCGCTGAGCAGATTTTGATCAATGAGTGACCTAGAGGATGTACAGATTAAATCACAAACAAACAGCCCTCTGCATTCATGGATTCTGCATGAGCAAATTCAATCAAATACAAATAAAAAAATATCCAGAAAAGAAACTGAGGATATGGCTCTGTGGTATTATGCAAGAGGCCCTGGGTTTGATCTCTAGTACTGCAAAATAAAACACACTCAGGAAAATAAAGACCTTTTTTTTTCATGTCATTATTCCCCTAAGCAATGCAGTGTACCAATTATTTTAAACAGAAATTTACATTGTATTAGGCATATTAAGTAATGTGGAGATCTTTTAAAATATATAAGATATGCAAGTATATTATGCCAATTAATATAAGGGAATTGAGCATCCTTGGATTTTGGTATCCATGTGGTAGGGAGTTCTGGAACCAATCACTCGTGGATACCAAAAGATGATTACATGTAAGTTTGAGCATTTAGTAAGTGTTGGGCAGAATGAGTAGGACAAAAATCATACATGAGATTGTCTTTGCCTCAAGGTCAACCGTATTGTGTATAACAATCTGCATTTTACTTTTTTGCTTAAATGATGGCCAAAGTGGGAAAAAAAATGCTTTGAATCAACACAAAAGTAATATTTCCAAAAGTTGCAAAAGTATAGTCTTCCACTCTGTGTCTTTGTTGAATTTTTTGGTGAGGACCTTTTTGTGATTTATTTTCCGCCCCCTACAGGAGTGTTTTCATGCATCATTACCCGCAGGCTCATCCACTGGGCAGCACCTAGCATCCACTGGTTTGCTGCCGCAGCTCTTCAGCCCAGAGCTCAGTGAGGATTCATACCAGACCCGTATGTAGAGAATCAGCTGTGACCGATGTGTTTTCCCACACTGCTTTTCCCACAAGAACTGGGTTTCTCACACAGAGGTTGTACAGGGTGTCAGATCATTGCTGTGCTCAGAGATTATCACAAAGTTGACAAGTTGGTTGCTGTTGATTTTGTTATTATCATTATTTGTACATCTCAACAGCATGGGTTAGGAGAAGCTGCTGTGGGGAGATAATTTTTAGGTGACTCAGATGCACCGTGCTGGACAGCTCCCAGCCTCTGCAATTTCTCTCTGGCTTCCAGGAAGGCTGGCATAGGAGTGAGAAAACATTCACTCCTCACACCTACCAAAGGCGTGTCTGGAGGGTTCTGTGGAAACCAGGAGCCTGTGTGTCCTGTGTCTATGAAGCAGTTGCTTTGGCTGTGCTTGGAAAGGTGTGAAGAGTAGGCAGACAGCTCCAAAGCAGGGCGATGACAACCATTTACATGATGAGCAAGTTAGGCTGTCATCTAAAAGAGCTTATTCTGGACGTTTGCCTCTATGTGTCCTTCCTGGATGTGGTCACAGGCATCCGCCCCCCTTGCCTTGATAGGGGCTGGGGTATTCGCTGGTCTGAGCATTTCTTGCAGGCAGGGTTTAGCTCCATTCTAAGTGGGATGTGGAGACACTAATATGACTCCAAGGAAAGCAATCAGAATGAGGAAAGATCTGGAAACAGTGCCCAAGTCTTCATGACCCACAAAGAGACAGGACAGTTGAGTGGCTAGGCTCATGCAGGTGGCTCGATATTGGGGAGAGAGTCAGTTCATGTTTTCCAGTTATGTGCCTGAGCAAGTACTAACTCTAACTCTGTTCTCATCTGGAAAATGGGGCAGCCTTTTGTAATGTCCTGTGAAAATACAGTGTGAAAAATGCACTGGGATCCCTCCTTATCTCTGTCTTCATGCCTGTGATTATTATTATTTTCTAAAAAAATTTTTGGCAGTACTAGGGATTAAACCAGGGGTGCTTTAACACTGAACTATGTGCTTCCAGCCCTCTTTATCTTTTGAGAAAGGGTCTCACTTAGTTGCCTAAGCTGGCGTCGAACTTGCAATCCTCCTGCCTCAGCCTCCTGAGCAGCTGGGATTATAGGTGTGCACCACAGCCCTAGCTCATATGATTATTTTTATAATGCTAGTTATATGGAAGTAATTGGAATTGTTTAGTCCACAGGAGAGAAGATTGGAAAAAGGACATGGAAAAGGTTCTGAAGGGCTATTATGTAGCAGAGGGAGCAAAGTTATTTTTAGTTTGACTAAAATATGGCCTTTGCAGGAAGGCACATTTCACATCAATAAAAGACACTTTGTGAAAGAAATGCTCAAGAACAACCAGGCTATCCTGCCAGGTATTGGGGCTCCTTGTCACAGGAATGACTGATGCTGGGTGTCCATAGCACTAGAGAGTTTGAGGGGAAAGGGCTGCTCCAGGTGGGAGGTTGTTTGGATCAGATGCCTGAGTTCTCTTCCATCTCTATGATGTCAGGAAAATTAGCAAAGGGCTCAGGCTTTGGAGTCCTGAAAAAATGGATGAAACCAGCAACTGCATAGAATAACATCAGAAAAAAATTTTATGAAGGATCCAATGGGTACAAAATACCAAGCTTATTTGCCTAGAGAAGATAATCCTCAGCATTTTACTCATTATATTAGTTTCCTAGGGCAGAATCACAGACTGGTGACTTAAACAAGAGAAATGAAGTATGTCCCACAGTTCTGGAGGCTGGGAGTTCAAGGTGTCAGCTGTGTTGGTTCCTTCTGAGGCCTCTCTTCCTGTAGATGGCATTTTCTCACAGTACATTTCCATGTTTTTTCCTACTCTTAATACGTCTGTGTCCTTATTTATTTTATCTTTTTGGTACTGGGGATTGAACCTATGGGTTCTTAACCACTGAGCCACATCCCCAGCCCTTTTTATTTTTTATTTGGAGACAGGGTCTCACAAGGTTGCTTAGGACCTTACTAGGTTGCTAAAACTGGCTTTGAACTTGCAGTCCTCCTGCCTAAGCCTCCCAAGTCGCCAGGCTTATGGGCATGTGCCACTGTGCTCCATCTAATCTCTTCTTTTTAATTTTTTAAAGGGTGGATGTTACTGGGGATTTAACCCAGCAGCAATTTACCACTGAGCTACATCACGAGCCCTTTTTATTTTTTAAGTTGAAGCAGGGTCCTTGCTAAGTTGCTTAGGGCCTCAATAAATTACTGAAGCTGTCTTTGAACTTGCAATGTCTTGCCTCAGTCACCTGACCACTAGGATCACAGGCGGGAGCCACCATGCTGGCATAATCTTTTCTTATAAGGACATCAGTCATGGATGAAGGACCACCCCAATGATTTCATTTAACCCCAGTTACCTCTTTAAAGACTGTTTTAAGTATCTTCAGGGGATTAGTTCCAGGATCCCCTTTCAGATGCCAAAATCCACAGATGCATGAGTTCATCATAGAAAATGCAAATATTGAATTTGCATATAATCAATGCACTTTATTTGTTTATTTATTTATTTTTGTGCCAGAGATTTAACTGAGGGGCTTTAACCACTGAGCCATGTCCCTAGCCCTTTTAAAATATCTTATTTAGAGCCAGGACCTCGCTGAGTTGCTTAGGACCTTGCTAAGTTGCTGGCTTTGAACTTGAGATCCTCCTGCCTCAGCCTTCCAAGTCACTGGGATTATAGGCCTGTGCCACCACACCTGGCTCAGTGCATGTTAAGTCATCTCTAGATTGCTTATACTACCTAATACAATGTGGATGCTATGTAAATAGTTATTATACTGTGTTGCATAGATAATAATGACAAGAACAAAAAAGAGTATGTGTTCAATACAGAGACAGTTTTTCCTTTCTGAATATTTTCCATCTGTCATTGGTTAATCTGTAGATGTGGAACCCACAGATAAGGAGGTCAATATTTTGAGATATTAGGGTTTTTGTTTTGTTTTTGTACCAGGAGTTGAACCCAGGGACACTTTACTGCTGAGCTACATCTCCAGTCCTTTTATTTTTTATTTTGGGACAGGATCTCACTGAGTTGCTTAGGGCCTGGCTAAGTTGCTGAGGCTGGCCTCAAACTTGGAATCATCCTGCCTAAACTTCCCCAGTTGCTGAGATTGCAGGCATAGGCCACCAAAATCAGCATTCTGAAGTATGGAGTTTGGACTTCCACTTAAGCCTTTGGGGGAGGGGAGATACAGCCCAGCCCATAACACTGAGCGTGGACAAGGGACTTAATCTTTGAGTAGTGGGAATTGTCACCCACATGATTTCTAAACAGTGTCCTGTCTCAATTCCCTTCTCCTAGGTGAGCGTCCCTTTCCCTGCACGTGGCCAGACTGCCTTAAAAAGTTCTCCCGCTCAGACGAGCTGACCCGCCACTACCGGACCCACACTGGGGAAAAGCAGTTCCGCTGTCCACTGTGTGAGAAGCGCTTCATGAGGAGTGACCATCTCACAAAGCACGCCCGGCGTCACACTGAGTTCCACCCCAGCATGATCAAGCGATCGAAAAAGGCGCTGGCCAACCCCTTGTGAGGTGCTACCCACGGCAGCCAGGGAGGGATGGACCCCAGAGGACAAGACAACTCCCAGGACACAGACGGACACATGGAAACCAAGCCCCAGAAGAGGCTTGCTGACAGCAGGAGGTCACTGCTCTTTGGTCAATATTCTGATTTTTTCTCTCCCTATATTGTTTTTTAAAAGCACATGGTAGCCTCAGATCAAAGTGAACACTTGTCCCCTTGCAGAGACAACTCGGGGAACCGTCTCTGACTGCTGGAGGGAGGCATATGCTTTTGTTTTTTTTTCTCCTTTAGGTTTTTTTTTTGGGGGGGGGGGGGGGGGGGGCAAGGCCAAGACTGGGGTAGAATTTTAAAGATTCACACTGGTGTACATATGTCTGACTGGGTGAGTTGACCTGTGGCACTACACAGCGATTCTCTGGGCCCTTGATGCTTGCTGTCTCTCCGAATTGTTTTCTTACCTTTTAATGTAATGACAAGTGTGCTTCAGTTTGTTTAGCAAAACCACTCTCTTGAATCACGTTAACTTTTGAGATTAAAAAAGAAACTCCATAGCACAGCTGTCTTTATGCAAGCAAGAACACATCTACTCCAGCATGATCCACCATCTAAAGACTCGAAAACAAAAAAGTTCCTTATAGTCAATGGGTAAGCAAAGTCCGAATTTAATAAAACCAACCTTGGGCAGGTCGCACCAAGTACGGAACTTTTCAGCCTTGCTTTGTATGAATTGTACTTTTTGAACATAAGCTGCACTTTTATTTTCTAATGCAGAGGATGAATAAGTTAAACACATGCTTTGAGGATAGAAGCAGACATTCTGTTTGGCACCATGTTATAATCTGCTTATTTTACAGTATACACGTTTCCCTAAGAAATCATGGCAGCGATGTGAGGGCAGAATATACACAACACATGCTGAAGGAGGAGGGTAGCATTTAAAAAGATACAAAAGAAGAAGAAAAAAAAACACAAAGAACCAACAGAATTTTAACTCTATTAACTTGTCCAAATTTTCCTATCCTTTTAGTTAACATCATCTAGCTGTACCATGATGCCACTGAGAGAAAGAACTTTGGACCCTGTTCAGTGTCATTTGAGTGGGTGCTTAACAGTCACTAGGTCTAGAGGGGGGAAAGGTTTGGTGGTCTCCTTCCCATGTTCCTACAAATCTCCCACTATCAGGTGCAAGAGTTATGTAAAAGGAAAGAGAGCTGAAGTATTAAAAAAAAAAATTACCCTATACGTAGTGAGTGTCAAGGGAAAATACCACGCTGGTTTCAGAGGAGTCTCTGCTAAATAGTCCCTTTTGGAGAATGCAGGCAAATGAAATGTGTGTGAATGAAATCACATCACTGTACCTTTACATCAGTAGCCTCACCACTATATATCTTGTATCTAGGTGTCTACAACTGGCCTAAACCACTACATCCATACTATGCCATTTACTGAAAACTTAAGTTTGGCTTTTAATGGCCAGAGAAATAAACTTGAGTTTTCATAGTTAAAAACAAAACAAACAAACAAACAAACAAAAAAAACAACAAAAAACAAAAAAAAAAAAATAAAAATAAAAAAAATTAAAAAAAAATAAACCTCAAATGAGGGGAGTCAGCAGTGATCATGGTGGAAATGTTTACATTTTTTTTTTCTTCAGAAATAACACTCTGGCGATTTTATCTGATATTTAAAACGGGGCGCTATGGTGCACTCTAGTTTATCCATGTGCTATCAAATGTGCTGCGTAGACGCAGTGAGTGAGCTCGGTATTTCACCCAGCACATGCTCGTTCCCGGTTCAGATTCAGGGGTGCTCCTGCGGTGGGCACGGGTCACGGCTGACTCCCACTTCCAATACAACAGCCATCACTAGCACGGTGTTTTTCTGTTTAACCAACGTAGCTGTATTAGTGGTTCTATCAAGAGAACTGCTTTTAACATTAGGGACTGGGAGCAGTCCATGGGCTAAAAAGGAAAGTGTTTTCTCACGAGAAAACATGTCAGGAAAAATAAAGAACACTTTCTACCTCTGTTTCAGATTTTTGAAACGCTTATTTTAAACCAAATTTTAATTTCTGTGTCCAAAATAAGTTTTAAGGACATCTGTTCTTCCATACGAAATAGGTCAGGCTGCCTATTTCTTACTGAGCTCATGGGAAGGCTCTGCTTAGGATACCCAGCACGCGCCTTTGAGTGAGTGAGGAGTTTGGGGGTTGCCTAGCAACTTGCTAACTTGTAAAAACTCAGCTTTCCCTCGCAGAAAGAAATGAAGGAAAACAAAGTCAAGCCAGTGAAAGACAATCTTTCTAGTTTCAGGAGTAAATCTATATATGGCTTTCGTCAAGCATTTCGACGGATATAAATGCAGCAACTTGTTTAAAAAAGATGCACAATTTACTTCCCAAAAAAAAGTTGCTACTTGCCTTTTGAAGTTGTTGACAGACACACATTTGATATTCTCTTATATGTCATAGTAACGTAACGTATAAACTCAAGGCTTTTTATTCTTTGTGATAAATCCTGTTTTACGATGTCACAAAACAGGAACCAGCATTCTAATTAGATTTACTATATCAAGATGTGGTTCAAATAGGACTACTAGAGTTCGTTGAACACTAAAACTATGAAACAATTACTTTTTATATTAAAAAGACCATGGATTTAACTTATGAAAATCCAAATGCAGGATAGTAATTTTTGTTTACTTTTTTAACCAAACTGAATTTTTGAAAGAGTATCGCAGGTGTTAAAAAGAAAGAAAAAGCTGTTTTATCTAACACTGTAAGTAGTTGTCATATTCTGGAAAATTTAATAGTTTTAGAGTTAAGATATCTCCTCTCCTTGGTTAGGGAAGAAGAAAGCCCTTCACCATTGTGGAATGATGCCCTGGCTTTAAGCTCCATATCATGCTTCTTTTGAGAATTATATTTGGTAGTTATAATTACAGAAACAAATTAGCTTCGTCAGTTTGCAGATAGATTTAGCACAGTACTCATCACTTTGAGTAGATAGAGATGTTCTTTCACAACGGATGAATGGTCTGTAACACTGTAAAATACTGATCTCTACAACTGTTTAATCAGTTTTATTTTTGTACAGTATTAGTGACCTAAGTTATTTTGCTGTCCCGTTTTTGTAAATCAAATGAAATTATAAAAGAGGATTCTGACAGTAGGTATTTTGTACATATGTATATATGTTGTCCAAATAAAAGTAATAAATGAAAACGATTGAACTGTCCCTGCCGTTATGTGTTATAAAACAGACGCATTTCACCATAATGGAAGTCACTTCATTAACCACACAGGATTTTTTCATGAATACAAGGTGATGCTACTCTGTCACTTTTGACACATGCTGTATTTGTGTAGACTTGTGTGTATTTACTTTTAAAAAAAAATTTAGAGTATTGTAGTTATACATAATAGTAGGGTTCATTTTGACTTTTTTTTGGTACTGGGGATTGAACTCAGGGGTACTCGATCACTGAGCTACATCCACAGCCCTATTTTGCATTTTATTTAGAGAGATGGTCTCACCGAGTTGCTTAGCGCCTCACCACTGCTGAGGCCAGCTTTGAACTTGCGATCCTCCCGAGCTGGCCATTTTAACATTCATAAATTCATATAAGGTGATTTTCTCAATTTCAATCCCTAATACCATAGCCCTTCCCTCCCCTGTATATGTATTCTTTACAGACATTTCAAGGAGGCAGAGAGAATGGAGGCCACTATTTATATTTTGTGATTAATCACTTAAAGAGGCTTTTCAAGCTTGTAACTCTGTGAAGGTATATCAGGAACTGGTCAAAGGTTTTTGTTTTTGTTTTGTTTGCAATACTGGGGACCGAACCCTGGGGCATATAACCACTTAGCTATTTTTTATTTTGAGACAGGGCCTTGTTAAAGTTGCTGAGGGTCTTGCTAAGTTGCCCAGGCTAGCCTCAAACTTTTGTTCCTCCTGCCTCAGCTTCTCAAGTTGCTGGGATTAATTTAATGCAAAAATAACTGGGTCAAACAGCAGGAGATTATTTTATTATATTGGCTATGTTGTATGAAGACATAAAAATGACTACTAAGGTTCCATCAAAATACATAAAGCAAATATATATGTATGTATATATGTATGTGTACTTACATATATATCTATAGATATACATATACTAGATATTTTTATATCTATATAGACATATAGATATAAATATACACAAAGGATTTTATAAAAATCAGCTTTAACTTCCCTGAAAGAGGGGATTTTTATAAAAATATGTATTTTAAAAATATGCATCAAGGTTGTACAAAAACAATATAAGACTTAAAACAACATATTAAAGCTACACATTCTCTGATCACCAGGCAATAAAGTGAACAATTAACAAAAAAGAATAATTTTTAAAACTAAAAATGCTTTCTTAAAATAATTCTTAGATCAAAGAGAAAAATACAAACTATTGTCAGAGTTTAAAACAGAAAAAAACTATATTCAAAATATGCCCTAAAGCCAGAATAGAGAAAAACTCAGAGCCTCATGTTTTTCTACATTCTTATGAATATGAAAAAATAAAAGTAAGCCAAGCAATGACTTCAAGAAGCCACAAAATGAACAAATCCAGAAAGAGCATGAAGAAATTTTTAGAAAATGGGATTGACATACAAACCTAAGAAGTAGAACTTTGAAAAGACCTATAAAATAGACACTGTCTTGTTAAAGCCAAACAAGAAAATGAGAAAAATTTAAATAAGTGCTATTATGAATGAAGAGAGTTATAACCATAGGTACAATAAGCTAATAATTTTGGACACCTTAATAAAATGACTCCTGGGAGAACAATTTTGATAACTAAAACAGTTGTATAGACTAAAAATCTTTTTAAAAAGTTGACAAATAGCCAGGCCTGGTGGCTCACACCTGTAATTTCAGCAACTCAGGAGGCTGAGGCAGGAGGATCACAAGTTCAAAGCTAGCTCAGCAACTCAGCAAGACCCTGTCTCTAGATAAAATATTTTAAAAGGGCTGGGGATGTGCCAGTATTTTCTTCATTTTAAACTGAAATGTTAGAATGTGGTAGGAGGTTAGTTTAACTCTGATTTACAAGAGAATAACTAGAAAAATATATAAATTAAAAAGCTATCCCCCCTCTTGATATGTATCCAAAAATCTAAGATTAGCATAGTATAGAGACACAACCTCATCAACGTTTAGCAGCACAATTCACAATAGACAAACTATGGAACCAGCCTAGGTACTCATCAATAATCAAATGGATAAAGAAAGGTGGTATATATGCACAATGGAGTTTTACTCAGCCATAAAGAAGAACGATATTATGGCATTTGCTGGCAAATGGATGGAAATGGAGAGCATCATGCTAAGTGAAATAAGCCAGACTCAGAAAGTCAAGGGTTGAATGTTTTCTTTCTCTCATATGTGGAAGCTAGGCCAAAATAATGGGGGGAAAAAGGAGCAGGGGATATCCTATGAAAACAGAAGAGAGATCAGTGGAGTAGAGGAAGGGAATTGAGGGAGAGGGAGGAGAGACAGGAAAAGGGAGGAGTGGTGGAATGAATCCAATCAAATTTTCCTATGTACATATATTAAGATACCACAGTGAATTTTTGCCTTTATGTGTATCCATAATGCACTGATTTTAAAAAACTATAAATAAACAGAAGAATAATCACTAGAGAAAAGGGAACAGGATGAGGTACGAGGGG